CTGGAGTTTTAAGGTATCAGCTGTGATCCAAAATAAATTAATGTCTATATTATCTCAGCCTCAAATGAGACTCAATGTATACATGTTTACAGTATGAATTGTATAATGCGAAATATGTGTGTGTGTATATGTTATGGATTTCAGGGTGTCCAGCAGTCCCACTGAATCACAAAATCGCAGAATTATAGAATATGCTGAGCTGCAAGGGATCCACAAGGATCACTGAATCCAGCTGGTCCTGCACAGCTCCTGGCACAGCACCATCCCCAAGAGTTGCACCATGCACCCAAGAGCATTGTCCAAAATCTTCTTGAATTCTTTTAGGTTTGGTGCTGTGACCTGCTGCTAGGGACCCTGTTCCAGTGCCCAACCACCCTCTGGGGGAAGAACTGATTTCCCCTGATACATCTTCAGATAATTCCCTTGGGTCCTGTCCCTGTCACCACAGAGAGGAGATCAGTGCCTGCCCCTTCTCTTCCCCTCACGAGGAAGTTGTAACTGCAATGAGATCTCCCCTCAGCCTCCTCCAGGCTGAACAGACCAAGTGACCTCAGCTGCTCCTCATACAGCTTTGCGTCAAGGTTCTTCATTATCCTTGTGACGCTTCTTTGGATGCCCTCTAGTAGCTTAACATCTTTTCCATATTGTGGTGCCCAGAACTGCCCCCAGCACTGGAGGTGAGGCTGCCCCAGCTCAGAGCAGAGCAGGACAATCCCCTCCCGTGCCCGGCTGGCCATGCTGTGCCTGATATCCCCCAGGACAGGGCTGTCCCTCCTGGGTGCCAGGGCACTGCTGGCTCGTGTTCACAGGGTCCCTTCCCATGGGGCTGCCTTCCAGCCTCTCATTCTCCAGTCTGTCTGTCCATCCAGGGCTGTCCCATCCCAGGTGCAGAATCCAGCACTTTCCCTTTTTGAATTTCATACCGTTGGGGATTGCCCATTTCTAATTTGTCAAAGCCTCTCATCTCTGCCTTTGACAGCTCCTCCTGGTTTTATATCCTCTGTGAACTTGCTCAGTGTCCCTTCCAGTCCCGTATCCAAGTCATTTATGAAGATTTTGAAGAGCACAGGGCTGAGGATGGGGCCCTGTGGAGCCCCACTAGTGACAGGCCACCAGTTTGATGTCACCCCATTCACTGTAATCCTTTGTGCCTGACCCATGAGCCAGTTGCTGTACATGTAGACTTAAGCAGTCTTAAAGGAAAAGACATTTTTGTCTCAAAGAAACTGTATATTATTCTAGATTCTCAGTTGAAGGAGCTTCTAATGATCTAATGTTTGTGTGTTTTGTAGCATCTTTTACAACAGTAATCTCCATCTCTTTTCCAGAATCATAGAATTGCTAAATTGGAAAAGATTGTCAAAGCTACTGTTAACCCAGCACCGCTGTGCCCACTACTAAACCGTACCTCCGAGTGCCACATTTTTCAAACACTTCCAAGGATGGTAATACCACTTCCCTGGGCAGCCTGTTTTGGTGCCTGACCACCCCTTCACTGAAGAAAAATGTCCATAATATCCAACCTAAGCCTCCCTTGGTGAAGCTTGAGGCCACTTCCCCTCATCCTGTCACTTGTAACCTGATAAACTTGCTACAACCTCCTTTTGGGTAGTTATAGAGAGCAATAAGATTCTCCCTGTCCTCCAAAAAAATTTAACTGGAGGTGCAGTGGGATCTCCCACCTCATTGCAAAGGTACTATCAGTGCATAAATGAAGACACAACATCCTTGCAGGGAGGAGCCTTTGCACCAGGAGCTCTTTGACCCAAATGATGTTCCCAGCTGCAAGGCAATCAAAAAACATCAGGATTTGGTCTCTCCCAAAGGAGACCACAGCTCCCTGGGTGTTTTTAGGGAAATTTTGGTGTCTATAGGTCACAGTTGCTCAGAAAGTGTTTAAGTGGGTTAAATTGAGACCTGGTTTTCCCTAGAATGGAAAATAATCAGTTTGAGGCAATAACTGGAAACATTATTTAAAATGAGGGAAAAGGGGTGGTTTGACTCTTGTGATTTTCTTTCTTTTTAGTTTCAGGTGACCTACTAACAAAATTCAGCACAAGTTTATGAATAGTTTGTCTTGTCCCAAATTTGCATTCTTCCCTAAATAAAATATTCAGCTAGAAATTTTTGCCCAAGACTAACTTATACTGCTACATTGAAATTATCAGTTAATGGCAAAACAGATTAAGAAAACTATTGAATGAGAATGGTAACTCTGGTGTTTAATGGATTTTTATTCATAAATATGCAAATAGTATTCTAGTTATGAAAATACAAATCCTAATGGATCACAGAGAAAAAGGTGCAACTTTCAATTTTGCTTTGATACACAGTTGGAAGTATAAAACAGATTTCATATCCTGCCTCACTGCTACAGAGATCAAACAACTGAAGTAGGAAGAAAAACCTCAAATCCAAAGTAAAAAACACTCAGCAGAAATGAAAAAAAAATTAAAATTAAGTGAAGAGCAATTTCTTCTAGAGGTGCATATTTTAAATCTTTATATTTCTAAATGTTAGAGAACCCCCCCCCCAAAATATAATGTCACAAAATTTAATCCTTGACCATCAAATAGAGTGCTTGTTGTACTTTGACAGAAGTTCTGGGGACTGCGAGCTCCTTGCCCTTTCGGTGCTGAAAGCCAATTTGGCTAATTTCATCATTTTATATAATCTAAATGTCTCATATTTTTCACTTCATGCCATAATCTGCTGAGCAGTGTGACTTTGTCTAGTTATTTGGTGTTCATGTTTCACTCAGCTTTGGGTTTGTACCTGTGTATGCGCTTGTACTGAAGGTGCAACCTATCAAAGAACTTGTGTTTTTCTAATGCTACATTTCCTTACATTTTGGATTTGAAAAGACATCTTGAATGTACTGAACTTTGTTGATGGTTTCTGGTGAAGTCAAATGAAAAGTGCCTGGTTTACAGCCACTCTTTATTTGAAGAAAATTTTATTCTTTCTGTATAACTGTCTCTATTTGCAATCTCTGGATGTCTAGAGCTTTGGGTATGGGCACTTCTCATTATCTTTATCAAATTTAATCAGAACAGCTCAGTGGGATAAAACAGTTTGCAAAAACTTTATGTTGCCTAAAATTGGTGCAGATTTTCATCACATCCTTAATTTTAATTTGACTTTTATATTGTGAAATTTTGCATGCACTTCTGGTTTAACATATAGTTCCAATGGCTATCCAAAGATCTGCACTGTTACTTGACATATAAGCTCAGTTCAGATTTTTCTGTTATCTTAAAGTCTAATCCTCTACAATATTGTTTTGACTGTTTGCCGTGTTTGTGTGCTCAGAAAGGGCTTGGCAAGCCAACCATATGTAGCTAACATGCCAAATAATTGGAGAGAAACTCTGTAGGCAGGTTCCTTTCCAGTGACCTGTTTGCTGTTCAGGACATGCAGAGATTATTGATTGAGCAGCAAGAAGGAAGGATGAATTGATCTGATAGTGAAATGATGAATTTTTTGCTGAGCAGGGGATTTTTCTGATGGAGAAGGAACAAATGGACTTATTGGTTAATTGAAGGAGAGAATTGACTGAGAGAGCCAGTGAGAATTTGATGAATGTCAGCTGCAGAAAAGAAGGATTCTTCAAATATAGATATGCATAAACATTTCTTTATTTTCTCATTTGTCTGCCTCTTACTTAATGTGTAATAGAGATGGGCAGCTTTACTTTGACTCCTTTTGGCAAGATGGGTAGGCTGACTTTGTGTGAAACTTTTTCTTCTTTTTAAAGATGACTGAAAATGTTCCTTCATTGGAGTCTGCAAAACTTTGTTGCTGCTGTTTTTTTCCTAAACCTGTGCCTTCTGTTTCAGTTTATTAAGTCTGCCAGTGTATGTGTACTTTCTTTTTCACTAGCTGCAGTTGCCAAATACTGGCCTAGGTTTTAATGCATGTTAGGCACCTAACTTCCACAGGAAACAATATGAATGAATGCATTTTTTTTTTCCCTTTAAAAAATCTTCCAGTTTTCACTATGCAACTCTCTGTATTGGTAGGACCAGAACTGCTCCCATAAGTACAGCCATTGGTCTTTCACCCTTTGGAGAGGGGACTGTGTTTTGTTCTGTTTTGCTGCTACAACTGTGGTCTTATCTGTAGTGAGGGCTTCTAAGTGCTACAGTAATTAAAAAAAATAGTAAAAGTGATACCAACAACACTCATACTAGTAGTAATAAATAGTTACATATTGGTGCCACATACATATTAATTAAACCGATGCTTAATTTAAATTCTAATTAATTTTGAATTAATTTCCTAATTTCTCTCTGGATGAGGTTGCCATAATCTTCATATGGTGCCTTTAGGAGACCAGAAGTGCTTTTATTCCCATTTTATAGGAATGGCATTGAAGGCATCCAAAACTGTCTTCTGAGGACTCTTAACTCTTAGAGTGCCCTCAAAGAAGTTTCTGTCCTCTGCTTGGGAAGACTGTGTTTGTATTGGGTTAGGGAAGGAGCCTATTCAGGAACTTTTCCATGTTGTGGGGCTGCAAATGGCAGAGTCCCCATGGATCAATGTGGTTATTGGAACTTAGTGTTGCAATGTTACAATAATTTTGCTCTTGCAATGATATCACCATGGGTATTGAGGGGAAACTGAGGACTAGGAAATGATCTGTCTTGTGAAGAAACTGTCTGTCCTCCTTTTCTCTGTACCCTTCCAGGCTGCTCAGATGTGCCATGGCCTTATTTTTATCATCATTAGGAAAGATTCAGCTGCATTTACAGCAGGGATATTGTAGGAACAGGCTCTGTGAAGAAATAATAGTAGAGATTTTAAACTCCCAAGAGGGGAAGGGAAGACCTTTAATTACAAAATAATAGGTTTAGCCCATAAACTACTCACAAAAAATAAAAAAAGTCACCAGGCATCAGAAAGAAGTGAGATAAGAGAAAAATCTTAAAATAATTTACACATAAAAAGAATTCTTGTTTTCATTTGGGACATTGCTTTATTTTGAAGTACATCTGGTATTTTAAAAGGTATAGGAACATCTTTGCTTGAAGTCACTCATCCCAGACAATGACACTTAACATTTGCATATTGAAACAACACCAGAGGTTGGTAACTTGGAGGAAGGGTGTTTGGGGAAGTTTTTGCCACTGGAAAATCTCTTCAAATTTTAATTCGTAATGGAAAACTTATAAACACAACAGAGCTGAACAAATATTTCAGTGTGAATAATTTATATGACAGTACCCCTCATAATAGCAGGCTGCTGCAGTTCTGTGGGACAGCTAGTTCTGTCTGACTGACAGAGGAGGAGAGGTGTCACCATCACATGATAATCCTTGCTCTGTCTTGCACCATCTGGGATATCACCTTGAACTGAGCCAATCCATCATCCTGCTAAAGGAAAGATAACAGCTGGCTTTTTCCATAAAACTAAAGAGTTTGATTGAAGAATGCTTCTCTCCATTTTCCTCCCTTATAACTTAGCAAGTTTTCCCTCGTAGAAAGTGGAACCTTAGAAAGTTTCCCACAAAATCAAAAGCTTGCCCACAGATTGACTGTTAAATGTGCACTGTGCATTTGTCAGGGATGCTCTAAGTGGTACTGAAGCTGACAGAATACAAGCAGGAGGTGACAGCTTCACTCCAATTTCAGATGATTAAAGGCTGCAGGGGCCTGGGGGCCCCATCTCGGAAAGAGGACCTCTGCAAATTCACCAGAGCATTTCCAGTCTGCATGTTTTGCATTGGCTTGCTCAGAGTATGCCAGGTATTGCTCTCAGTAATCAATTCCTGCCTCCAATTTTGGACCGCTTGGGAACAGATAAAGAAAAGAAGCTAAAAATGCAAATAAGGATTACTTTTTATTATGTGTGTACATTATATTATGTGTGACAAATGACAATGTAAAATGTAGAAATTGCATATGTGTGTACATTTAGAACCATTGTGGCTCTAAAGCATGACTTAAATCTTGAGGTGGGGTCCTCCCACAGCCTTCTCCCCATTCCCATACCTATCACTCATATTGAGTTCTTGCAGGCTGAGCATGCAGTTCTTCCCAAGGGCCTCTAGCCAAGGTGTTCAAGAATAACCAGAGATCCAGCATGATCTAACCAGAACCATTAAAAAAAAAACAAAAAAAAGAAAGAAAGAAATTATCAGGATCAAAGAGTGCTTGGCACTGTCTGGACACAAGAGCGAGACAACGGCTCCTGCTTTTCTGAGTGTTCTCCCTTATCATTTCCAACTCTAGCAAGTGTGCAGTCTGCTCTATATACCTTGTGCTTTAGCCTATGCTGAATGAACATCTAATTGGGGAAATGTTTTCCTCTGTGTTTCTTCTTCTTCTGTTTTTTCATGGTGGTGTTTATCTTATTCCTTCACTAATGAAAAGAGAACATCCCAAACAAATATCCCCTCCCAAATATGGATAATAAAATACCACCTTTTAAAAATTTTATTTTACCAAAATAAATAGAGAATTTTCCTTGCATTATTTCTTCCAGGCTTTTCTGTTAAGCAAGACAGCCACAATTCCCGCTTCTACCCTAAATTTAAATTTCAGTCTTGCTTTATTAGCACCAGAAGTCAAATTCTTAAAACTGCTGAATAAAAAAAATTCATGCAATCTTTGGAATACTTTGGCAAGGTACTTTTTAAAACACTTGAAAATAAATCAGAACTTGTGGCCTAATAATCAGAACTGCAGACACAAAATATAGAAAGTTAAGTAACAGACATTTGTTAGCTTTTTTTACATTAATCCATTATTATATTTTTAGAAATGTTAAATATTTCAAGCTCCAGACCGAGAGCTATTCTTAGAGTGATTACTTCTCTTAAGTTGAGCTCAGGTAATGCTTTTGATCTCCATTTCCATTCACCTAACTGGATATTAATTTTTCACAAGTGGATATTTGCTGAGAGGAAGACACAGAGGATATGCCTCCAAATAAAAAGAAGTAAGGAAATATATTTGTCTTGATCCCTCAGTTGTTTATAAAAATTTAGACAAACTGTTGAACAGTGTACCAGCATATCAGCAGAACCTTTCCATAGTCTGAGTCCTCTTGTATCAATTTTTAAAAGGAAGACCTGGGAGGCTTTTAAACTTTAGAACTCAAGGAATTTGATAATTTCCCCACACTGAGCAATAAGGAACCTATATAGCATATTTCAGTGTGTATGTATGTGGCTGTATGTATGTGTCTGCATTTGTTTTATATACATACTCATTACTTAAGTATAAGACATATATGTGTGAGTATATATATAAATATATATATATATGTGTATGTATGTGCTCATGCATGCAAACATGCATACACATACATGCATTCTCTTAGTCTACTTTCCTCCCAGTCTTCTTTGAGCCTGTCTTTTTTTGTTTTAAATCACTTTTGGCTCATTTAAGGCTCTGCTGGGCCCATTAAATTCTGCCTCAGATGGTCTATCATGCTTGCTTTAAATTAAAAAGAATACAAAAATAATTTTGAGATAATAGAGAAGATAGAATCCTCACATTAAAAATGTGTCCACTTCTGAAGGGATGTTCTGATGTTTTGAGTAGTATTTGAACAGCCAAAAAAAAGAGGATAAGTGTATCCTTGTAAAGAGACTAGGAAAGAGAGCTTAGGAAAGCAAATGTGCTCTGCAGAAGTAGTTCAGTTTGCATAATTTATTTTAAATATGGATCCTCTCTGGTGTGTGAGCACTCCCTCACTCACCATCCCCACCCCCCTCTTTTATTTTAAAAATAGGAATTTCTCTGCGGCTTGCGTTCCAATATTCCAGTTCAAGTAGGGTGCCTGATGGTAGCTCGGCACTTGTGTACTTGACTACCTACTGCTGGGGAGCCTTCCTTGCCTGTAGTCTAGATTTATGGTAAGTCTACCCTTTCCCTTCATCTACAAGGTCCAGGGACATTCGGGTAGCCAATCTGCCCTTAAATATGTCTCTGAGGAAATGGTGCTAATTAGTATTGGAATTTACAGCCTTTCATTTTATTGACTTGTCCTACTTTCTTCGATAATTAACTAATGAGTAAAGTAATGAGCTATGTTAGTCAGTCATGATGTTCAATTAAACAGCAAATCAATTATTGAAAATAGTTTCGGACAGCTCTGGTGTCGTCACGGGGAGTGTGTGTGCGTGTGTGTGTCTGTGTGTGCACACGTGCTTTAAATGTGTGCCCTAAATGTGGCAGTGTCCCTCCCTGGAGGGCACCTGGCTCCTGGAGGGCTCTGTGCTCACAGTCAAACCAGACCTGTGGTCCTTCTTGCTTGCCTTGCCCACAGTCTGCTCAGCTGTGCTACACAGTGCCCTGATGCTGCACCTTGACAGCCTGAGCTTATCTGTGAGGGGTTCCCAAAGCCTGAAAAAGATGCTTGCTGTAAATTAAGGAGCACTTTTCCTGATGAGGAGATTGGATGTTACAAAACAGGTGTGCGACCCCTCTGCTTCTTCCTTGGCACATGCCATGTTCCCCACCAGTGAGCAGGGTCACCTGTCCCAGAGCTCGGTGTTACAGCAGCAGGGACTAACACACAAATATGTGTGTTACCTCTCTTCTGGCTACAGCAACACCCATGAAAACAGAGAGGCTGGCAGGGAGTTCAGGATTTTTCCCCTTTGAAATCTTTGCATACCAGCCTGAGCAGAAGCTGTCCATGCAAAGAGGCTTCTTGGGCCATCATGTCCTGAGTCCCCTGCACCAAACCTGGGGAAGCACTGCAAATTCACTCTTGTGTGGCCAGTGGAAGGTCAGGTCACAGTTTTCTGGAGCAATGCCGTGACATTGGGCCTGGTACATCTATCTATCTCTAGAGCACAGACAACTTCATTTGGCATGAGCCTGGCAAAGATCTTGTGTTGCCAGGATGAGAATCAGGCATTCATTATCTCCCTAATGTGGCAACATCAGTTTTGTCCAGGAAATGTAAAGGGCACTTCTGGCAAAGAAAGGCGTAGCTGGCATCGTCATTCACTAACTTGATAGCTCTTTAGGTCTAATTATTCTTCCAATGGAACTTTTACCCACCCTGTTTCCTTCAGGTCTTTTGCTTCATCTTCTCTTCCACAGGAGCTGGTAGCACAGTTGTACCTGCTACCCATGGCTCTTCAGGCTTTCACACTCACCTTCCTGGCCCCTACCTTAGTTCTGTGTTAGGTGCTAGAGTATACCACAGCATCCAGCAAGCAAACCTGTCCCAAAACCTCAGAAGTTTGGGAACAACTCTAACTGTCCTGTGCTCTACTCACACAGATAAATTTTGACTTGCCCTGTCAAAATACCACTTCGTTTTGGATAGCAGAGGCTTTTAGAGAAGACAGTAATATTGTATAGATTGCATTAAGCAGAAAAAAATGTTAAGGTTGTTAGATGTAAAGTTTGGGTTGGGATTAAAATTTTAACCTAATATCATTTAGATATGCTACCAGAAAGAATATTCTGGCACAGTTTTGAGTAGAAAAGCAGCACAAATACTGCCATGCCATGCTCAAATGTTCTCTAGTCATAAAAATAGTATTTCTTAAAAATAATAGCCATCTTACGATGTTTTTTCTCAAAGAGAGTGAGAAGGCAGAAAGCTCCCCCCTAACTTCCAAATTCAGAAGGAAAAGCAGGCCAGTGAGCAAGCTGCATAAATACAGAGAGGAGACTAAACGCGTTGGCCTTAGCCATCCAATTGAATCATGATTCATTAGAGAAACAGCAAGCCAAAAGAAATCAAAGACAGTTCAAAACAGGCAACATAAAGTTTTCATTTCCAAACAGTTTTAATTCACTGTTTGTGCTCTTTACTGAGAATATGCAAGGAACACAAACATTCCCATATGATTCAAATTACAATTTACATATGAATTACATTAGAAATATGAGCTACACTAAAGAGATAATTAGTGCTGTCCTGGGTTATGTGAGCACAAACAAAATTAAATAAGAACAATTTCAAAGCCAAGTTTTGCATTGCCTTTTCAACTAAGCTGGTTTAATCAGTGATAATGACTGAAATAAATCCACCACATATAAAACAACGCACAACATATCATACTGTGTGAAATGTCATTACTATATCCCGTGCCTTGGTAAATCTCACAGTCAAAAAGGAATACAACGTCCCTGGCAGGATGCTACACAAAATTTGCTACTGATGGGTGCCCAGCACTGGAGGTGATGGTCCCTAGGGCTTGCAAGGAAGCAGGACCCACAGCAGGCCAGCATTGCTGCACAGCATCACAGTGAAAGCAGCAGGGAGGGGAGGGCTGCAAGGGTGTGTGACAGGGATTTTTTTTTAACGTGACATATGAATGAGAAAGAGCTGCCACAGGAAAAAAAAACCCACCAGTGTTAGCAGAGAGCAATGAGGAGGGGAGCAGGAGAACCAGGGGGAAGAGGGGGGAACACAGGGGAAGAAAAGGAGAAAGTGAAAAGGATTAAAAAAATACCACACAGAAGCAAAGTACCTGAGCATCAGTGTCTCAGCCCCTAAATAGAGCTATGGTTTATGACTACCTTGCCTAATGAGCTAAACTCTGGTGACCATAAAACTGAAATATAATTATGACATTAAAGATGCCTATATTTGAACTTAATTATTAATTAATTTAATGAGAGAATAGGAGGTTGTAAAATTGCTAATTAAACGGCTCTGTAAAACTGCAGACGGCAGAGGATTTACCAAATGATGAATCCCACAACAGTATTTGGGCTATATCAATATTCTATTAATATACAGTATGCCAGAGGTACTGGCTAGTATGCTACTCACAGTTAAGACGATGTGACAGGCATACAGAGTGAAAGAAAATGAAGGACATAAAATTCCGGATGACAACAACCTTGAAGACGATCTCTGCCCCCACCTCTGTGGCAATTTCTGAAATCAGTTAAATAAACTCAGAAATGCAGGATAAAAATCAATCTTACCATCGCAAATGTGAATAAATTGGCTTGAAGGAAAGGACCCACCTATGGTCCTTAGGCACCGTGGTGCTGTGTCGCTCTCCGCTTGTGAGCGGGAATGGTCAGAGAGGATCTGGACTTAAGTGCAACAGAAAGGGAGGGATGCAGCGTGAGTGAGTGTGTGTGTGTGTGTGTGTGTGTGTGTGTGTGCGCTTCTCAAGTGAAAGAGAAGCTGAGCAAGAGCAAAAAATAACTGTCCCCGTGTGATTAGTGAAATTAAACTCAAGTGAACCTTCAGGGGCTGAATTCGAACCTACGGGGGACAATTTTAGAGATTCCCACATTGCACTATCAGCATGTGAGGAATTTTGCTGTAAGATTTGAGTGGCAATGCCATTTGGATGACATTCATTTAAAAATATAGAGGAGGGGTGCAGGGAATTGTTTTCTTTTAGCATTGAGCCTAATTCAAGGACTGTCAAAAGAAAATGCATTGAGATATCTTGTCTTACATATCTCTAAATGTCAGTCATGACTAATTACTGGGATAAAAGCAAAAGAAAAAATTGAAATGTACTTTTTGTAGGAAACAATGAAACACCTCTGGGCAGCGTAACAGAAACCATGAATAATACTAGGTTAATTGTAGGAGGTACTTTTTAATAATTGCATGAACCCTGAGAACTGTTGCTTTTTATACTTGCCATGTGGCACAGCTTTTCCTTTTTATATTTGAGTTTTTAAATGCCCTTTTGACAACCACAAGAAAGATTTTAACAAACAATATCAAGAAAATTTTGTGGAAGAAGACTTGCCTTTCACTCTAAGGGAAACAATATGGTCATCACAGTAACATCTTCCACATCTGGAAAATTAATGGACAATCTTGACAGCAAGGACAGGAGTTGTATTCCCAAGTCCTTTGGCAGTTCTAAAGAAGCTACATAAACTTCCAGTGCCTTGGTTTCTACTTTCTCAGCTAGGAATGACAACAGTTTTTTGCCATTCATCGTTCATGTTTCAGAACAGTAAATGGAAGCTTGCACATAATTTCTGAAGAAGTGATCTCTAGAAGTTGTTCTTAATTGACTGGTTTGGGAAAATAAGTGTTTTTAGAAGTGTCACTTCTTATCCTCTTTTTTTTTTTTTTTAATGCCCATCTTTGTCTACATGAACATGGTAATTTAAAGCAGCTATGAACTTCACATGATAGTCTTGTTACCTTGTCTCAAATACTTACACAGTTTTCAGTCTCTTGATGCTCAGAAACTTCACTGGTGGGTTTTGTGTGAGGATCTGCAGCTGAAAGAGCTGCTGCTTTAAAAAATCTTGATCCAGATTTAGAAAACTACTCTGGCTGGTTTCTATCTTATAATATGTGCAATTAATAAATATGAAAGCTTCTATGCATTTATTATCATTGTATCATGCCCTGCAGTTTTATAGATCCAATTTTTCAAAAAAGTGACTTCATCTACCAGAAATAAAACCAGACAGAATTCTTCTATTGTATAATCAGCTATTGAACCTGCCCCTTGACTGAAAGCTTTTGTGAGATTTGAGTGTTCTTACTCAGTTTTCAAGCCCAGGAAAACAGGCAATGAATTAAAAGTGACGGGTTTACAGTAAAAAGGAAATTCCAGATGGCTCATTATTATCACATTGAAGGTTACACATCTAGAGCACCAAAGAAATTGCCTCCATATCTCCACCAGATCTACCCCATGATTAACTTTATTACAGGTAGGTCTTTGCTAGAGAAATTCAACCTGCAGCAGAGTGCCTGGCTTGAAACAAAAAAGAAAGAAAGGAACAAACTCTGGGAATGCCATTACCTTCAAGTTCCCTTGATGAAGCCATTGTTGCAACTCCCTTTGAGACAGAAATATTTGAGAAAGGGTAAATACTGTTTAGTTATTGCCCAACCAAAACCTGGTTGATGTTTTCTGTGATACTTGCTGCCTTACAGTTATGAGGAAACCCTGGGCAGGAATGGACAGGGACCTCCTCATTGCAAGAAGCATGAAAGATCCAGCCAATAGGTCTGAACCTGATGATCAGGGTTGTCTTTGTAAGACTGGTCTCTATGGGCCCTGGGAGAGAATTATTTTGTCTCGTTTCTTTGCTCTGGGTGCTGGGGGCTGGTCCCTGTCACCTGACAGTGATTTTAGGGCTCAGCAGGGACAGGGGTCTCTCTGGGTACCAGCAGCCATGGTAGCAATGCTGCTCCCAGCCTTGTGTCACCTGTCACCCTGAAGTGGGTCACAGCTTGAAAACCTCTGGGATTGTACATTCCTTAAACACTGTGGGTAAAATCCAGCTGTGGCTCAGAGCTAAACCGTGTGGCTGACAGGGGTGCCTGTCAAGCTTGGTTACCAGGAGAAGGGTCCAAAGTGAGAGCAGTTGTGATTAACCATCACTGCTATTGCAGGTGTATGTCAGGGTCTCACTGTGATATGTGTGACAAGATTACAAACCCAAAGCTTTCTAGGATCTGATTTAACTCCTGAGGATTTAAAATGTTTGCTTTAATCATGATTTAAATCTTCAAGGAGGTTAACTTGGTTTAAGTTATCTTCTGCTTTTGTTTGCATTTGTCCTTTTTGTGCCCTTTAGAAAGGTTTCCCTTTCTATCGATTGGTTGGTAAGCTGAAAAATATGTGACTAAATATATCCTACTAAGTAAGATGCTCATTTTGTGTATTTGTTGCTGATCAGAAAGATATTTTACATATTTGCCCATTCAATTAGCCAGGTTTTTAGTTTAATATAATTTAACTTCACCCATTCAATTAGCCAGGTTTTTAGTTTAATATAATTTAACTTCATCCTTTTTTACATTTCAGAATGTTAGAATGTTAGAATATGGTGTGTGGTATAAGTCCTTTCCCTTCGGTGTACACTATTTTTATTTTGGTACTTGTGTTAGAAAATGTTTATAAACACCTCACAACATCTTTACAATTGAAGGAAAAAGACACTTTAAAATAGCTCTCACTAAGTAAATAATTCTGTCTTTAACTCAATGGATATGTAGAAGGGAAAAATATATCTCCTTAATATATTAAGATAATATATTAACAGATATTGTTTTCACTTAATTTCATATCTACTATATGCATTATAACTGAAAAACAAAACCAAGACTTTTTTAAGCTTCCAACTGGTTTATAATGGCAATTGAATTATTCATTGAAAAGAACTAATTGAATTAATTGAAATCAAGATAAAAACTTTTTCAATTCCTAAAAACAAAATTTCTGCAGTAAAAAATTCTAAACTGAAGTAAAAAATTGCTGGCTTTATTTTTTATTTCTTTAGTAGTGATTTCAAATGATCAGTGATTTGAAAGTTTTTAAAACCTGTGTGTGAGACTAGCACCACTTGCAATCATCACAGCATTGCAGAGACAAAAACATGGGGAAAACACATAAACAAAAGTAATAAAAAATAACCTTCTTACTCAGGCAAGAAGGCTGCAAATCTGAAAGTTGTAGTCTGAAAATAGAGGATTTGTATTTATCAAAAGACATTTGCATTAGTTCCCATTACTGCAAACTTTCTTTAAATCAAAAGAAACAGCACAGAATGAATCAGAGAGGAAATACATGGATTCAGGTTTTCCATGTCAGGAAAACAGGTCAGTTATTAAGATCTGAAAGATAAAAAGGTGTCCTCCCATGTATGTGTACTGGCATTTGTGTATATGGCAAAAGTTTGGAGTGGAATTAAATTAGCAACTCTGTTGTTCCATGAGGTGAATAATCAAGCTGGCCCTAAAAACTGACTGAAAGAGGTTAACAACAGTAAAATACATAAGCATTTTAAAAACACAGGGATCAAGTAGATCTGTGCAGCATTGAGGTGACAGGTACCTTAGGAGTATAGGATGCTGAGAGATAGAAGTGTTAATTTTTTATTCCTTTTCCATGAGATCACAAATTCTTCTGGAAGAAAAATTGAGAACAATTTTGGGGTCTGTAGTCTACAGAAAACTCTTTCCTTTCATTTTGCCATCAAGATCACACCTTTGGATCTTTACCCAGCTGTCCTCACTGTTTATCTAAGAACAGCCTGTGAACTTTCCGTACCTCATTTAGATAATTATCAAAAACCCTCCTCCAAATGCAAGTGTTTAGAGGACACCAAGCAGGTTTCAGCTGCTGAAGTAAACTGCTGTGACCTCTGTGAATATCTTTCTTCAAGGAATTACACAGATTTTCATATAATGCCATGAGGAAGGTTGAAGCATTGTAACCCTTCATGCCTGGCATGTCGTTGAAAAATTTAGCTGGGTACATCTCTTTTCTTCTAAATGACAAACCAGGCAAGCATCATAAACAAAAATGAGTCAGCCTTTCTGCTCCCAAGTTCCAAATGTGTTAGTCTATTCCTGACTCTGTGAGTTTTGATTTAACTCTGGAGGAAAAGGAAGGTAAGGGAGCAATCTGACTGATGTTGGCTACACCCAGGTATCAAGCTGGGTGCCCAACAAGGTCTCACAGCGTCCTTCTGCTGCAGTATTGTGCTTTGACTACAGTTTGCCCAACTGAGAGAAGGCATCAGGAATAAAATCACTCTACAGTTGTGTCATGCTTGAATGCCAAACTTGTTACAACCCCAGCTGGTCAACGATGCTTAAAAACTGTTCTAAATACAGTTCCCCTGTCCTAGATTTCAGTGGGACTACAGTTAAAACTGCATGTCTGTGTAAGTGCTAGACTGCACTTATAGGCAAGTTTTAGACCTTTGGCCCACCTTAATCTTTTAGGTTTTTTTCCATTTTGTTTTGTGAAATTAGCTAATTCTTATTTGTTGTAAAATAAGCTTCCTTTATGTATTAAAAGCTTACAGAGGAAGCCACAGTCATGCATGAAAAATACGTTAAAAAACCTAATAAAATTAAGTATAAAAAACCAATGTGGAAAGATATAAGTACTAGCTATATTAAAAAAAAAAAGCTAAATACAAAGACACCTTATATTCATGTAGATACAGACTCAGACAACATTTTCTTCTGAAAGAAAAATCTAAATATAAGCTATATGACATAATTTAAGTAAATATTGCCTGAAAAAATAACAGCTGTCTGCTTTCATCAGATCCATTTGAGACATTAAGGATAAAAAGGAAAAAGCAAAGCATCTCAGAAGTGCAGGTGTTTCAGC